GAAGTGAAATACATGATGAGGTTATATGGGGGGGTAAGGTTCAAGTAGAGGGGCTTTGGAAGCCACAAGTGACTGGTCTATTGTGGATTTGAGTAAATTAGAGTGACTGTCTGCACAACACTCCAGTGCGCAACTTGCAAGACCACGGCACCAACGCAGTCGAAAGCTTCTTTCCAGCCAAAAAGAATGCCTCCCTGCCACAAAGTGGCCGAGCAAAATCCAACCGCCGCTGGTCCCCGTTTCTGTTTCGGATGTCTTGGCTATCGCAGCATGTGCGAGGAGTAACCCACCAACTTGGGGTCGCTAGGGGCGGCATACGTGCAATGGCCTGGCGAGCAACACGACCATGGATGCATTTGTGTAAATCGCTGCCGAGCATGCGCCTGGCAACCTGTCCCGTAGAAAATGAGTATGGCTACCTGTGAGGAAGCAAAAGCAAGGAAGGGTGATGCACACTCTTTACCCTCATGGCGGAGGAGACTTTACGAAGTGCTAAAACGTTGGAACGCCGGGTCAGAGCTTCAAGGATTCAGGGCGAATGGTTGCAGAGAGCTTCTGGGCTGAAGCTGCATAGATCACACTGCATTCACAACCCTAAGCCCTGAACCCAGCCTTCCGGCTTTAGACGGCTGGGAGTCTTTGCTGTACAACTTCGGCTGGGGCTAATGTCGACGAGTAGGGAAGCAAGTGAGCAGTTACAAGCGGTTTCTTAAATTGAGCAACATACGGTGATGTTTTGCATCAGTGCGTCCACAAATTCGAAGCCTTGTACCCAGACTGCAACAAGGTCACAGGTTCTCAAGTGGTAGTGACAGCTAGGCGCGGATGTATATCGATCAAGTATGCCCCGGTAAGCTCCCCGGGTCCTGTCCTGGTTGGTAATTGTTTGGCGATAAGGTGCGCTAAGTATCTCAAGTATAATCTAAACTGATTATAACCGTAGTTTCCGTGCCCATAACATCTTATAACTCTGTGCCCATCCCTACACGCTAGACAAGCCTGAGACATAAGTGCTAAACTAAAACTGTAAACGCGATACTGCCCCTATCCAGTAACATTTTGTGATAAGGGTAGTATTCAGGGCTTCACGCATTCATATCATACAGAATTACTATCCGAGTGTTCCGGGTCGGTTCAGTATCCAACCTATTGAACCCCAAAGTCTTGGTCCCCGGCGGTGCAGTTCATGATGTCAGAGAAACTCCATTCCAAGCCATAGATCTGCGTGTGTCAGCTTGAATTTGAGGGTGATGGATTTAGGGCTTCTCCCAACATAGGGGCTCCCTGATCGTCATTTCAAAAGCTGCAATCCTTGCTGTTGCGACCACCCAGAAGGGACCCTAGTTGGTTGGAAACCCCCTTTAATCCGGTTGTACGGCTTCAGTTTGGGGAGGCCTCTGTTGAAGGCTTCAGGTGGGATCTTCCTAGAGTAAGCTTGAGCTTATGCCCTTAAAACTGACCAGCAAGCAAGTTGATTCAGAATGCTCTCTTAGGTGATTTACCTGCAGTGTCTGCGAAGGCCATGACTGGGTTCTTGCTCTCTCCACTGAAGAGAGGTCAATATAGGAGCATCTAGATTATAAGAGTAAGGTTCTGGGGCATATTTTACTGAAGCTACATGAGGATGATAAGGGGACAGTATTGGCAATTTTTTAGGCTTCTACACTATGCTACTCTATGGCGACTATGCGTACCGACCTTCGCGATGTTTTGCGGGAATCTGCACAAAGGCTGAATATGCGTTTCTTACACAGGTCCTCTGCTGTTTGGAGGCTGGCTGCTGATTCACGCCTCATGCGGCTGTTGCCTCTTCCAGGACCTTGCGACAAGCATCCCTTGTTTTGATGTTCATGTAGCCAACACCCTGCAAGCTGACTGTTGATCCGTACCCTGGCAAGGCCTACCTACCAGGGGTTCCCATGAAAAATGCCATTTGCCGTGGTTCCTTGTAAGCGTATTCCTGAAATTTGTAACAGTCTAATGTTCCTTCATAGCTGTTAGTGGAACAAAAACCTGCCGACCAAAAAACATCTCCCCAACAAAGGCACAGAGCCAGGGCTCAAACATACCCTGCCCTAGCAACCTTGATGCCTCCACGCCGCAGTGGAAGGCTCCGCTGCCAAAGGGCCGGAGCACCTGATGAGGCCAGCGTCAACTTCCGGCTACAATAAAAAAGCAAGGATTATATATGAAGAAGCTACAGTATGGGCATATTTGTGATCTATGTCGGGTTTAGGGTCTATAGTGAGGAGTGTTTGGTTGCCAGTATGAGTAAGAACCCTATAAGTGCCAACTGACTGCAGTAGGGCCCTCTTTTGGTATGCTGGGGCTACCAAAACACTCTAATTTCTGTACGCGCAGCGCTGGATTCTAACGCTTGGACCAGGGTTTGTTCGTCAAAGGCCTACATGACGGATCGAAGGATGGCTTGAATCTGAATTGGGTTGTTGTGATGTATAGCAAAGGCATAGAAGGCATATAGGGTTAGCATATCATTATAACGAAAAGCTTGACTAGGGATGACGTGACGCTATAGCCGACTCAGGCTATAAGTTTCTGCGCTTAGAGCTTAGGCAATTCGAATCCAGGGATTCGTTAAGGTCTCGGGCCATTAAAAGGAGAACCTGAGGTTGGGGCCTAGCCTCCTTCCTGGATAATTGGGGTCCGCATCAAGCCTTGACTGGGTGGGTATGTAGTGGGAGCGGAAAACAAAATGGAAACTACTATGGGCTTTTGATTTTAGATGATTCCAGGGTTTGGTTTGGGGTTAAATAGGGCTCGTGGTTCATATTACCTGGTTGCATCTTTGATTTTTGCATTGATAAAACGAAACACAAAACTTCAAGACAACCATGACATATGCGGCTTCCGAGATGGGGAGACTAATTTGATCGCAACTTTCCCGCATAGTTGTAAGGACCCAAATTATGCTGTTCCGGGTCGCTGTTGAGGATAGGAACATGAGCTGACTTACCAGAATGTGAATATGCAGTAGATACTCTGGGCTCCGTAATTCGGATGGCAACTTCACTGAAGTTCCTCAGCAATAACCCAAACTTTGGTGGAGATCCGGCTCATCCTTGGAACTCATGGACACCCTCGCATAAAAGTGTCTCAAAACTCCTAGTTGGAACCAAACTCGGACGTATGGGGGGTGTGTGTGTGTATGCGTACTTGCAATGATATACTAAAGGTATACACGCATGCCTATATCTGTACATGTACGTGTATACATATATGAACACATGTAAGTATATAGCGATTCATGGTTCCTCTAGAATTCATAAATCACCCTAAATCCTGAGCTCTTAATCCCTGAACAGTACAATAGACCATAGACCCCAATATTATCCCCTGATGCCTGGGAAGATAGTAGAACAATATGCTACGCTACACTTCACCTGGGAAAATTTCAGGAAACACCCTTTAGGAGGATCTACTTTCTGGATACCCAATGGTCTGGGCCCCTGTGATTACCAGAACAGGTGAGTAGTGTTTTTTTGGTGGTTAAACCCAGTAAGATTATATTCCTTATATAAAATATAAATTGGGTACCATAGTATCCCCAAATTAAATACTAGTCAGGTGGGCTCCAGGCCGAATTCAGCATGGAGATCCGGTCAGAGCTGCCCAGGTCATAGACGTGGACGGAAACCTTGGAAATTACTTGGGCTGTTCTCAAAATGACGAGCCCCTTTGGGTATAGGTTATATGACGGCACCGAATATTTAGGGGTACCAAAATTAAAATCGGATCCTAATTTTGGGAACTTCCCACTTGTTAGTGCAGAGTGTAGGCATCGGTTCCTCTGCTCTTCGATTCCGGCAGTTTAGGTTTTGGGTTTCAGCATTTCATGCAGATTCAGGGTGAAATAAATTTGCATGTTTGAAATGAGGGAAGCTGGCTGCTCTAACGGCTGAAGTGCCTGAGGGAATGCAGAATCCGAGTTGAGTGTCTTCGCCAGGTTGGGATAGGAGTTCAGAACTGAGAGAAGTTTGCTATGCGTGCTTTTATAAGCTGCACGCTCCCGAACACAGATTGCCGTGGTAATCTTGCGTCAGAACCGAAAGAGGCCGCAACCATGTCCTAGCTTAGAAGAAACTTTTTGCAACCAGCCATTGAAACTATAACATCCTGCAGCGCAATGTTATGATGAAGGATTGTTGATGTCAACTGCAGGTCCAGCTATACTGCGTAGACATGCAGAATCTACGGCTTCGCGGGAGGACTGTGCGTGCAGAGGTGTCAGATCCTGTGGCTGCGTTGCTTGAGATGGAAGGAAATCCGTTCCAGACTATAACGTATAGATGTCTAGCTAAACAGCTAATAAGGATTGGCAGGTATAACTTGAGCTCAATACTGAGGACTGTTTTTCTGTAGAAGGACACTCTAAGGGAGACGGAAACCTAGAAACCCAAAAGTGGAGCGTCTCAAGTCCCCTCTGCACTGCTTGTGTCAAACAAACTTGCCGTCAACAACCTTATATGAAAAACGAAATGGGACTGGATGATTGAATCTAGCTCTCGGTGCGACCTTTGAAGCTGATTGCAATGCTCGTGTAAGATGTGAGGTGGAAGGCTCACGTCCGAAGGCTTGCGCAAGGCTTGAAAGTGTTTTCCGGTGGTGTCTTCTGAACAGATGGAGAGGGCCCTCAAGCATGAAACATTGGAATTTGCAGGACTCATGGAAAGAATTCGGCTTCATGCTGACATATTCATGTCTTCCATTCGTGTCATGAGTCATAACCTGATCAAGACCGTGCGAACAATGAGTGATTCGGGCATCGGCAAGCTTGTTGGGCGAGCACGCAAAGATGTCAGCCAAACATTCAAAAACAGTCACATGCTCTTCAAGCTGGCAACATCAAGGAACAAACTGCGCTCAGCCTGGCAGCGGCGACTAGGAGGCAAAGGTTGCCTGAGGCAACAGTTGTCTGTCAACACGACAAGTGGAACCGACATATCATCTTCGTGGACAAGCTCAGAGTAAAACACATCCTTTCAAGCTGGCCCGGAGCACGCCCTGTCAACAAGCCAGCACAGCCCCGTCATAACTTGGATTTTCTTGAAATCGTTGAGAGCGTCTTGCAGCTCTTGGCGTCTTTCCTGGCTCATCTCCGCGATGTGCCTACGTACCTGAGCCACAGAGGCAGGCACTCTTCCCCCAAACGCTGCGCCCATGAAGGCCTCCGCAAAAACCTGGTCGGGTTTGATGTCGCGCTTGCCCATGCTTGCACGGATCGCTCGTAGGTCTGCGGCTCTGGTGAGTCTATGCGCTCGAACTAAGCTTGTAAATGTCATCACAGTCGGCTGGAGGCTCTTTTTCAGAATGAGATCGTAAAAGTACATAGCAGCATGCGCCTTCGGTGGATCAGCATTTGCACAGGCATTGATCGCAGAATTGAAGGGCGGAACATCTGGCTCGATCTGGTGGGAGATCATATAATCCAGACATTCGGCAGCACCTTCTATATCGCCCATACTCGCTGCTGCATTAATACGTGAACCGGCTACTATTCTGTTCACCTGACTGGCAGCCGTGGCCTCTGACCAGATCCTCGCAACTGCCTTGCCGTCTTGCAGCTTACCAAATATCTTCAAACCTTGCTGCAGAATGACAGGGTCAATGCGCACACCTGGAACATTTCGCAGCCTGCGGTAAATTGCTGCTGCATCCTCGTACCGGCCACATCGATAGGCGGCTTGCATGGCAGCGCCGTGCGCTGGAACCGCATGCCCAGAGTATTTGCCCCATACACGCGACACTTGGGACCAATCACCCCTGCGACCGGCAATGTTAAGGGCCGAGACCAATTTCCTTTCATCGGGCGTCAAAGCATAAAATCTTCGTCCACGCTCCTGCTGATGCTGGTACCGGTTCGCTCTCTCAACGCACTGGTCGTCAATTGCTTGCGACTGGCGCTAGCGAAGCTGTTTGGCCATGCTAGCTGGCAGCACACAACAATGAACACCAAAAGCAGCGTCGACTGGCAGCCAACTCGGAGATGTAGATGGGCGTCTCTTGCGACCTGCCGACCGAATGTGCATGCGCGAGTGACGCGTGACATGTGGCAACTGCAACTGTTCATCGCCTTTCGGCACGGAACTCTTGAGCCTGAAGCTTTCCCAGGCAGTCCCTGCGCGCATCTGCTTACAATGGCTTCTCACGCAAGCTCTTTGCTTTACAATGTCTGCAGATGTCCACCTGATGGCAGCAAAACCGCAATCCGCATTGCATGTCACGTGGAATCCTGCGCATCGGGTTTTTCATATCCCAATATAACCTCAATGCAATTCCTATATAATCCAAATATAATCCCCATATAATCCCTATATACCACACTTTTCTTATCCAGCCTACCACGAGCTCGTAAAAACCCAAAAACGGGAAAGCGACATGCCTGCATCCTGCCCAAGATCCTTGCTGGCGCCGGCTTGGAAGGCAGCGTGCTGAGTGTAACTGGCGCGGCAGCTGAAATGTGTGAATTGAAACGTGGGACTGGCCGTCTAATATTATGCCAGAATTTACCATAGGAGTGTCTCAAAGGTGAAGGCTGCTCTCCATGAGCCCTTATAGGCCCTAAGTCTTTTCAGCACCCAAGGTTCAACTCGCAGCTTTGGGGAGCGTACTTTGGAAGCTGGGCGGCTTCGGAAATTATGAATCAACCCCAAAAGAACATGATCGAAATGCGGAGCTTCTTGTGTCAGCCATCCCTACAATCACTACAGGTCTCTCCACTCTTGACTTTGAGGATCAGGGTGATGTTGTTGGAGCCTGAAGAAGCCAGCCGCATCCTATCCTCCTCATTTTAAACACACTACATCCCGCATGGTGAAACATGGCACTACTACATCAAGCGGTGTCAGAGATTTTGATATTACAGTCCCTCTTAAGTAGATAGAATATGGGATATATGGAGATCTTATTACAATATTCCCAAGACCATATTCTATCTACTTAAGGGGGACTATATATACGAGGCATTGGGATGATGTAATATGAGGCGCAGGTGATGAATACACAGAAGCCTTGCCTCGAATGTCACTTGTCGTGGACCACTAATTACCCCGAAAAGCAACCAGACCTTCAACACTACATCTTTATCAAAAGCCACAGGAGAAATGAACACTAGGTATGGAGGGGTTGGAATGCGTGCTAGGCTCGACGGGAGTTGGAGCCAAACCTTAATCCAGAAATGTCCGTTATTGTCGATGGCTTCTCGTGAACAAACGCATGTCTGACATGCGCAGTACCTAACACCAATTGGCACCCAAGAAAAAAGTCAAGAGACATGCTCTGTAACAGGGAAACTGCTGCATGAAGCGAACGCAGGGTTAAAGAGCGTGTGGCTTTGTACGAGAGGCTAGAACACAACCTCTCACGCTCACCCCAGACACAAGTCAGGATGTCTCGTACTGTGGTCTGGGATGGCATAACTTACAAACTACACGGTGTACCAGCTCCCAAGCGAACATGCCACTTGAAATGGTCCTACAGAGACAACTGTCCTTCAACGAGGGGGCCCTATGGGTTCCATGTTTGTTTGCAGTAGCGTAAGCAACCTGAAAGTGCGCGTGAACTCCTCCAAGGCAACTGTGCGCGCGCACTGGATTGCACCACTTATAAAGCACGTACACATCGTAATTCCCATTATTGCCGATATATAGGGCAGCGCAAGATGTCTAATTACTATCCACCGTAGCATTGAAAACCACCTACCCTGTCCCAAACTAAGATGGACTCCGGACAACCGTGCCCCTCGAGGTTTCCGAAAATCGGTGAAGCCCCTAGGGACCCAAGGAAATTCTTAGGCCTCCTCAAGGAATGTATAGGGGGGGGGGTGCAGGTTGTTGAGAAACTCCCAAATGGCGCGGTTGATCTACGTTGCTGATATGTGGGTTTTGAAAAACTGGGGTATCATGAATATCAAAGGCCACATTATTACGCGGTCCTCAACATGAAGCACAATTTTGCATTTTACAGAACCCTTCACATATTGGGACTGAATTTGGCAGGCTTGGGGCTTTTGCGACTCGAGGACGATCACTCCGCTGTTGAAACGTATGGGGGCTCCTAGGGTCTCTAAAGATGTATAGGGATGCATGGGGATGATGCGGGAATGATTATGGGGGTTTGAGGAACTCACATACGGGTGCTTCAATAGCTTAGGCACAAAACGATATATAGGGGTACTTCTGAGAAATTGCAATGACCCCACAATTGTCATAAAGAACTCTGCAGGCAGTAGTCCGACTTTCATGATACCCAATGCTTACAGAAAGGATTTGGGCTCAGGATTTAGAGAAACAAAACATTTTGGCGGTATCCATACCTTCGAGCCTCCTGCATCTCCAGGATCAAACCGGCTGCAATTGGTGCCTGGCAAGCGTTCAACAACTTATTAAGCAAGGCGGTGTCTTTGGGCTCAGCAGCTCAGCCTCCTCTTAGGAGTGGAAGCTTTTCGGAAATATGTGTCCTTGTTGAATTAGAGTAGCAACAGTCTTGCGTGAATGAGGTACCCCTATTTTGACAAGCACCGATATGACTTCTTCACGCACCAGCCTAAAACAGCGATGGGAACAGCAGACTGAGCAGCATCCTATATGCCATTGCGACCACAAACCCCCAGTTGAGGAATACACTGTAGGTGCCTGTTTTATTGGAATAGGGTCTGGGGACACATTGTACGTACAATCATTCTTCAAAATACTCAGGCTTCCACAGTACCTTCACAGATATGCCCGAACCCCTCGCATGACCCTTACGATCGCATCAAATCATTCTCGGTACGTATGCAAGTATAGCAGGACATGACACACAAGCTTGTTAAAATTATTCATGGCTGGATGCTAGACAATGGTCTCCCCAAATGGACAAAAGGGTATACACTTACCAATACACCTTCGGAACACTGATACACTCACCAAGAACTGCATTCAAACCCACCTCATTCAGACCCCTGCTTGCAGACTGGACTACCGGGTCCTTTCTGGAGACCCAAAGCAGGTCCTCTCGGGCAGTCCCACTTAGAACATTTCGGAAGATGGTAGCTTCTCAAAATACACCTTCACAGGAATCACAGTCCCCTCATGATCTTTAAGACTCTGGGGCCCCCCTATTTTAAGAAATGCCCCACTAAAAGGGGCACGGCCATTCTTGCTGTCAGCATGCATATCTCCCAACATCGTCTTCCAGTAGATGCTACAAGAACGGCCAAAGTGCAGCAAGCGGTCCACTGCTTGCGAATCATCCGCAAACCGGACATACATACAGTCCAACAGTATCCTAAAGTCACATCAAAGTCCGATATTGTAAAAATGCTAGAAAACATTGATATTTACAGCGTGTTCATGCTCTGGGTAGTTCTTGCGGGGGACCATACATATATATATATAGATGCATTTATGAAGCAATACATGTGTGGGGGTCTCGACAAACAGGGGCCGCTAGAAGAAGCCAAATATACAAGAATCCTTCTTCTAGAGCTAAGGATTCCCAAAAATGTGTCCCAAATTTCTGCAAGCCCCATATACACACTCTATCCTACGACTTGCCACCTGCTGGACTCTTCCGGGCAGGTGTAAAAGTGATGAACTCTGCGGTGTGAGCGGGTGCCAACGTTTTGGTGTGGTTTAGGAGACAAAGGATCAAAGGAACCCAGGCAAGGTCACTGTCTGTAGTGCAGAAGCCCGAAAATTACCAATACCATTCCATTACAACCCTTGCACGACTATAATGTACTGCACGCACCAAAGAACATTCTTGCTGTTTATTAGACCCCTAAATCAGACGCAAACGTCCCCATCATCAGACATAAAGGAGCCAACCTGTCAAGACTCGCTTGCAAACAACAACCTTAACCCTAAATAAGACCCCCATATACCCCATATTCTATCTACTTAAGGGACCCCCAAACCCCAATTAATAGTTTCCATTTTCTTTTCCATTATCCCAATATAACCCCCAACCGAAAGGAAGGGCGCCCGCGCTGTGAAGAAGGTTGTGCGGGTCAGCTCTTGGCTCCAAACATCACAGCTTCTCTAAACATAGGAACCCTAGGGACCTCAGTGATATGTGGGAATTCTAAGTTAAAAGAGCATCATGGGGGAATGTCAGGATTTTATATTCCAGTGAGGTATTTTTGAGGAACTCCTCAATGCCGGTTTCCAAACTTAGGGGTGAGGAGTACCCATAATCAGGACTGCAGTCTAGTGGGAGACATAAGGCCTTTCTGATTCTGGAAACTCCCAAAACACGGCAGGAAGACCCATGCTCCCAAAGAGGCCTCGGTGCTGTTTGGGGGATGGGTTTGAAGCATGTTAGGTTATGGTTCAGGGGAACAAGCTCTTGGATTCAGGGAATACTTGGAGGTTCATGGGTAGCTAAAATAAGTAAAATAACCACACGCATCAATAACAAACGCAACAACAACTACAACCAGAATGTTGCACTGGCTTTGCTGAAGAGATCCGTTTAAATGTGCTTCGGCAGCCGGTTATAGAGCTGAGGCCGAAGATCCGCTCCAACGCTTTCGGCGTTGGGCTCCAGGCAGAGTGCAAATCATCATCATTATAAATGGGGGTTTCCCAAAAATCGGGGTACCTTTTTGGGGGTCCCCATAATAAGGACCATAGTATTTTGGGGTCTTTATTGGGGTCCAATGATTTTGGGAAACTACCAAATCCATCCTCAATGCCCTCAGCAACCTTTCGTGGGGTTACAAGGACTCAGGAGTGCCAGTGAGTCAAGAAGCTGCAGCCCTACTGTACATAGCCCGACTCATGCCTACCCCAGAACCTTCCGGTAGGTTGTAGGGTGCAGTGTCTAGGGCGCAAGGTTGCCGGGGAACATAGGAATCCATGCCATGCTCGTTACAATCTGGGTCAGGGCGTCCTGTAACCAAAGCGCTCCACTAAATCCTGCAGGATCTTATCTTAGCTTGTTTAAAAAAGGAGGGACACCTACGCACCCTAGGCATTGTATGGGGATTGTATAGAGCGTGTATAGGGGATGCATTTGGCTTGTACACAGAATATGGATTGCATAGAATAGAAACTAACTTACAGTGGCGCAAGAGGATCAGCCGAAGTGGTCCAGGTGGCCATCATTTTAGATTTCAAATCCAAAAATGCACAATCAAGGAGTCTCAAGACCTCTGCGTCTTCATCCATGTGGAGTTTCTATCTTGGGCCCCTATAAGAAGATTCCTAGCATCATCTAGCATCTTGTTGGGTATAAATGCTTCGAGGGGGACCCCTGTTCTCAGAAATACACAAGTGATGCCTGGGGTCGGAGCTGTCCACTTGCACCCTGGTTCAGCACATGCGGCAGCTGCTTCTATCGCAAGGCTTGCTTAACATCCAGGATGAACGATATACCCTGAACTATAGCCTAGCTAAGAGCATTTCAGAGTTCGGGTTGCCTGGATAGGCACATGCTCTCAGAAAGTCGTTTGGAGCTGATGGTTTGGCAGGTTTAGGTCTGGGTGTAATGTAAGTTGTTGAGGCTGGCTGAGGTGCATGACTGCTTCACATGGCTTAGCAGGGTCACGCAAGCTTTTCTAGGTTGCCGAGAACTTGATTTTGCAGAGGGTGATCGCCACCGCAACGTGCTCACATTAAGAAAGAAAGCTAATTGCCCGCCAGGGTCTTTGCCGGTCTTGTGCAGATAACGTAAGGTTCTAAACTGCCAGACAACGGCTTTGGGATATGCCCTAATCTGGTTATACAGCTTTATAGGGCAATAACATTGCTGTCTTCTGCCGTATATCCTGGCTTCGACGCCTTGAACCATCCTGCGGCAGGCTCCAACGCAGACAGTTCTGTCCAGGTCACAATGCAAGATGTAAGGTCTAAGGTTCAGCGTTTCAGGTTCTCCCCTGCGAAACCCTTCTGACAAGAAAAACCATCGAATCCCATTCGCCATACAGTACCTGCTCAGAACAGGATAAAGGACAAGCAGGAAATTAACGCCATGGACCAAGAAGAGTTCCGTAATTTCCAGCTTGAGTGCTTTCCTAATGGTTAAGGAATTCAAACTAGAGTACCGTTATACAAGGAAAGATATTGTTTACCATATATCCATGCTATGGTGACTGAATGTAAGTTCCTTAGCAGCCTTCTTAGCAAAATTGATTTGGGGCATGGGCCCAAACTATGCTCCAGAAAGCAAGGCTTAATATCCAAACAGCCAGCCAGAATCTGAGCCCGTCCCACTAATAGCCCTGAACTTTGAGTAATGACTCCTGGCCAAAAGACATGCTTAATCTGGTCCCCCTAGTAGCAGTAGCAAACCCTCCCTAATGTCATACAATGAACTCAGGGGCGAAAAAATCCGGAAGAGCATTTTTAAAAGGGCAAGACTACTCGAGGGGCCACCTAATAATGAATTAGGCGGAGTTCTGGAATTATCAAATTATCAAATAGTTATTCAATTGATTAAGGAAAAACTCAACTGAATAAATATGATTACACATTCACATTCAATTACTAATTTTCAATTGTTACCAGTAACGAACTGATTTCATCAAGCCAATATTGTGTTTCCATGGAGTAAAAAATGACTTGAAAGGCAGGCCTATCTCCTTCTTGCAAGGACAAACAACCCTAAAGCCTAAATAATTTTCGGGCCCCAGAAATTTAATGGTGGAGGGGGGGGGGGNNGGGGGGACGGCGGGGGAAGGCCTGATCCTTCAACTGCGGAAACCTCGAAAAAATCTTGCTGCAACCTCACAGTTCGAGCTCGGCATTAACACAAAACCCAACAAAAGTATCCTGACTCTATTCCCAGCTTCCATCTTGTTTCCAGTTTCGTTTGCAATTATGTGATGCTGCATCTTAAGCGTAGTCCTGCGTAAGGGGATCATCTTAAATCACCTCAAGGAAGCAGTTTGGTTCATCTCCCCGCAGAGCATTTTACAGGGCATATGATGGGGATCCCATGGGGCCTCTATTGTAAAAGCAGGTGCTTGCATTTAAGGTCTCTGTTTAGTTAGTAGTTTGAACAATATCACACCACCCGCCCAATGCCAACACATGGGCACCGGGCTCAATGCCCAAATGAGGCCTGTTAAGGGTGCTTAAGGTTGAAACTTGCTTACTTCTGAAAGCACGTGACACAACAAGCTGGGCATTCTGGACACGCCCCTGAAGCACCTCAAGCAATTGGGAGGATAGCACAAACTGAACACTGAAATACTAGTGGCATTACCACACAGGACCCAGCCCAGAAGATCAATCAGCAGCCGAAGCTGACCTGTTCCGGAATGTGTGTGCGTGATTAGCAAAGAATTTAGTTGAACAGCTTCTGCACTATAATGCATCACTGGTGTCCTGGTGAATACACCTACTCGAAAGGCAGAAATTCCTTTGCCAAGCCCCCTGAAATCCTCTCCCCAGGCACCTGAGGTATCGCGGATCAGTTTCACCTTGCGAGTGCTTCAAAAACAAGCGGAGCTGGCGGATGAACACTGCTTCCGGCCCCTCTAAAGACCCCTGGGGGGTATTTCAACGCTGGGTTCCAAAAAATTAAGAATCTTTTTGGGCGGTCCCATGATCAGGATTGAAATATGTTTGGGTCTGTATGTCCCGTGTTTACGGAAACCCAAGTGGCACTACCCTTGAAGGACCCCAAGTGTACTAGAATGCTTTCTGCAAGGACTCCAAAAAGAGGCACTACTCTTTGCAACTGCCGCCTGTTGCAGGGAAAATGCACCCCTTCCCTCTACGGCGGTGCACTGCTTGGATCCGCGGTCCAACCTGGATCCACCTTGGAAACCACACGGCTTTCACAGGCTTTAGGAGTAAGGCCATCCTCTAAGTGTAAAAGCCCTTCGATTAGACTTCAACACGTCTTGCGACACATTTGGACTAGGATTGACACATACGGAGGCCGGGCCTGCCATATGTGCATTTCGCAGAATAACCTGCATACAAACGGACTCCGCAAGCTCCGTGTGATCCCATACACCTCGGGGTCCTGTGGGGCCCCCGGTTTAGACAACCCCAATGTTAATGGAAAGGGCAAATGGCGGAATCATGCATGGAGGAAGCAGACAACTTCAAAAGCAGGTTGTTCGGGCTAGGAAAAGATTCCAGGAACATCTGCTGGTTTCCAAAACTGAGATTCCATTTTGTATCCCAGCGCCCTCAGTGCCGTAATTACCATGGTATCAAAGGGGCCAAGTAAAGGTCCAAACTTTGAGAACACCCTGTATTGGAGTGTCTCAACTGATCCCTGCATACTGCTCTTGGGAGCTCCCCCAATCTCCATGTAATCCCTAGACATTTACTAGGGTCCATAGGGGCCCGCCATTTTGAGAACTCGAAAACCGAACCCGATTTTAAAAACATGTTCATGTATGCACATATGCTTCATACATAAATATTATGTAATTAGATATATATATATATGTATACATGTCCCTTCTATTCCCTTAAAGTGTCCCTAGCAGCCCTGTGATCACGTTTGGGTCCTTTTTCCCCTCGGGCGCTGGGGGCGGCGACTGACTGGCTTCTGCCAAGTCCTGGCCAGTGTCACCCACAAATACACCGTGCAAAGTTGGGGTTTGAAGCTTTACGGCTTAGTGTTTGGGGGTTGGGGTTTTGTATCATTTGGGGTTGAGGGCTGCGCGTTCACTGTAAAGGCTTGATAGGGAGAGGCGCTTATTTTATCTTATTTTCAGGCTGCAGCGCCGAGATGGCCTACAAGGGTCTCTCAACATCAAACTTTGCGAAAGGGGTTATGGAACATCTTCGAGACTCACCGTAAGCGCTCTTCGGCATGGGCATCGCTCTTAGTCTACACCGAAATGGATCCGCATGGCAAGAACACGCCATGGTGCGAAACATCCAAACTGAGCTAAGGGATCTGGTTTGCATCTCTGGCTTTCTTTAAATCAGAATTCCAAGGGATTTCACTCAGGGTTTGTTCCCCAAAAAACCAAGAAAGGCGCCTTCGCACCATACTGTTGATGGAGGAAATCTGGACCACCCTATGTCCCATAACCCCCCGGAGTTACAGTGCATTCGGGATCCTGAGTGGTGCAGGATTTCATCCATCCACCTCCGTGGGCTCAGTAGAGAAGATGCTTAAATAAGATCATGGCGATAGGGGGCCTGCACAACGCATCTGCCCTGCAGATGGCGCGATGCGCCTAGCATCCCCCCCTCCATGGAGCCGTCTTCGAAGAAGAGCAGGCCACACTCCAAACCCCACGCTCTTATCCCGAAACCCTCACCTAAAGCCCTACACTGCTAGCTCTAAACCACCCAGACCTTACCTTGGCCTAAGGCCCCTGGACGCTGAAAGCTGATCGGTCCTGGCAGAACTCGTCCGGAAGCTTCAACCAGCGGAAAGATTGCGCAAGGCTGGCCAAGTCCTTGGGGAGCAAGCTTAGCGGGACCTCTGTTACTGTAGATTCTCTGAGTAAGGCCCCGCTCTAAGGAACCAAAAAGAAAACAGAAGGGCTCTTAGAAGGAAACCCCCTGAAGGGAACCCGAAGTCCCAACAGTCTGAGATCTGCGGAAAAATGCACCGATCAGATCTTCACTTCAGGGGTTTGAGGCTCATGGGTTTTTGAGGCTCAGACTTGTTAGGGCTTCAAGTAGTTGGGGGCTTCGGGTCAAGGGCCTTTGGGAGTGGAGGGTTGGGGGGGTTTTAGGATTTGTGGGCTTTCGGGCTGGAGCTTGATGTATGCCAGGGATAGCACAGCGCCGTTTGGGAATTGGATCGTGTTTCATTGGTGTTTGGGTTTGGGGTTTAGGCTTCAGGGTTTGACATCCTAAGCACGGATCTGAAGCCCCGAAGCCCGAAGCCAGTTGCTAAGGGTCCTCCTGGAGGGGCCATTCGGTGCATTTTTGGGGAATCAGTGTTGGAGACAAACCCCAAACCCTAAACATTGGACCCTAAACCAATCCCAGAGCTGAAACGCTAAAGCTTACGTGCATTGAAAGGGTCGAGCAGTTCCTCGAAAGTAAGCACCGACTCCTGCGAAACCCATATGTGGGAATTTCCAAAAACAGAGGCCGCCCTTCCACCCCAAATTACTGTACTCCCTAAACCCTAAATTCCAGGAAGGGGCGGCCAAGTATCCCATATCTGCTGCAAGCCAAGCCAAAGCTCTGAAATCGTGATCCCCAACCCTTCATCTCGAGATGCCCCAAAAGAAAATGGAAACCACCATATAGCATATTGGGGACGTATAGGGATGACGGAAAAGAAAATGGAAACTACTATCTAGCATATTGAGGTTATGTAGGGATAATGGAAGAGAAAATGGAAAGTACTATATAGCATATTGGGGTTATGTAGGGGTAATACTACTAGATAGTATCTACATCCGCGAGCCTTATACCACTTGCTCTGGACATCTTGCACCTGCAGCCTCCGTCAAACATACGAGGAAGCTCTTATCGTCCCCCTTAAGTAGATAGCATATGGCTTTGGGTATACTATAATAAGTTCCCATATACCCCGATTCTATCTACTTAAGGGGGACGATATATGCTTCCCTTGCAAAGGACAATAATCTTTTTGAGAGGCCCTTCTTGGGCTTCCGCACTGAAGCAATGCCTATAATTCCCTTCAACCCCTGAACCCTTGCATATGCCCAGTTTCCATCTAGTTGTCCGATTGACTTCCCATGTGATTCATTCTTCTAGTCAGGGAGGCCCCTAGCCTAAAGGCTTCAGGTTGACAATCCTAAGCCCTAAGCCCAAAACCCTGAACCCCTAAAACCATAAACCCTGAATCCTAGACCCTAAACTCCCTACACCCGAAAAAGGGGATCGGATCTGAAGCGTAGGGTTGAGGGGATTCGTGTTTCTGTTGTGGGGATCACGGTGGGGGGTCAAGTCTCATTAGATCCTGCTTTGATTCAGGCGTTTCCTAAGCCCTAACCCGCCGTGCACATCCCGCCTATATCCATACATCCCGATATATCCCTATATATCCATACCCCTACTATCCATCCCTACATAGGGCCATATATCCCTATACATTGCTAGATATAATCTATATACCCCTACGATCCTTTTCTTCCTCTCTATAATGAAACTGCTAAACCGTAAGCCCTAAACCCTAAATCACGAGCCCAGCAGCAGACGGCTCAAACGCCGCAGGTGCGAGGCGAGCTGCGCGTGCCAAAGCCTGGCGCTGGGGAGTCTACAGGGGCCGTATAGGGGTTATATGGGGATGCATACGGATTTAAAGGGATAGGCTGTAAGTGTACTCTTCAGGTTTGTACCCTTTGGGTTTGGCATCCCAAAAAACCAAATTAAGAGCTATCTTTCCTGGTTTTGGGATCCATACCCAACGCTACAAAAGAAAACTCCCTACTTTTCTGGACCAGCAGATGGAAACTGCTGCAGTATTCGAGGTTTAGGGTTTAGAGTTATAGTCCCTCTTAAGTAGATAGAATATGGTTTTGGGTATATCATAGTAAGATCCCCATATACCCCATGTTCTATCTACTTAAGGGGGACTATAAGGGTCTAGTGTTCGGGATTTTGTGGTTTGGGATTGAGGAAAGGCAAAGGGGACTCGAGGAATGCAAAAACAGAAGACGAAGATAATATGGTACCTTCCCCAGATAGGGGGACCCCAGTAAAGACCCCAATAGACTGTAATCCTTATTACGGGGACCCCCAAAGTGGTACCCTAATCGTGGGAAACTCCATGTTGCGAGGAGCAATGAGGGAGTGTAGTTTTGATGGTTAGATGGATACGAAGGAATTCCGGCGTGGGTCCCTCTAATCCAGGAGCTTAATTATTCAATATCATACGGAGGGCTTTTGAGGTACCTATATTACAGGGAATGCAGGATCAAAATCTTGGTGATTCTTCAGGCCTCCCCAAAATGAACACGCTTGTTGGCTTCGTGCTACGGATTGAAGCTAGTAGCTAGCATGCAGGGCTCCAACATGTAGGGCTAATCGCTTCAAGAATATGTACCACTACATACTGGAGCAAATATCTGGATTTATGATTAGGAGGTAAGGGGGTATTCTTAGGGGAAGGGATTATGCAGCACGAATCCCTGAAGCAAGCTGAATGATTCACGATGTTAAAGCAGCCAGCACTCTCACTGCAATACCGTAGGGGCCTTTTCAACTAGAATCGGGTTTCGGGCAACCAGAACCAAATTATTATGAGGGGATTGACTACGAACAATTCAGGCTTGTACGTACATATCCCAAGCTCCGTAGTTGGAGACCTCCAACCCTTGCCCCTGGAACACCTATAAGTATTAACTCTACAGAACCCCATAAGCTCTACATGACTGAAGGAGCTCTTCCGAAATGGTCCCTACATTCGCCCTGAAGGCCCTGAAATAGGGATCATAACCCTACAGTTCCAGAGGCACCCCCACAGTAGCCTTTGTCAGAGACCCCGGAAGGCGCTGTGGACCTCGCGGAGTTCCAGTGAAGTTTCGGAGAGGCAGGCAGCTGCATGGGCCAACCGGGCAAGATGCTTTGGCCCGAAATGGCCTCAGCGCCGCGTGGCTGCATAATTGGTCACCAGTAACGGAGAAGCACATGCAATAGAAATAGAAACTGGGATTATAATGTAGGACCAGGGCTTGGATCTGGCAGGAAACGAATGGCCTGGAGTTGGTAGCGCTAGCGACGCCATGACTACACGGCCAGACTTGGGATACGGAGTCGCATGAGATTCGTCTCCATGTCAGGTGCAAGAAGACGCGCTCCAGGAGCGCTGCTGGAATCAGAACCTACACAGCGGAAAGCAGCTGGCTTCAGCGAATACCGAGACAACGTAAATCCAGCGAGACCGCAAAGCCCGAGCAGCCTCATTTGTTCGAGAGATCTGGCGCTATGCGCATCTCCGCAGTGCCCTCGGCCCGTCCCGAACGATCAAGTCTTTACCAGTCGATCGATAGAGGGGGCCGGCTGTACAGCTAAGAACGGGGCACGCGCTACTGTGACAAAAGGCAAAATCACAAAAATCCACCAGCAGATCGCATAGGGATCCGCAGTTCGCTCACCCTGCTTACACCAAAACGCCGCCTGGCAACGTGTGCTCAGCGTCTGCAGCCGTTAACCTGCGGCTGCTGAGCTGCATGACACCGCGGCACATGCCCACTGGACCCTTGCCCTCAAGCTGCCAGTGTGTCCAACTGGCAATGGAGTGGAAGTTGAAGTAGTACTTTGAGGGGTTTGAGGCGATGTGCTTTAGCCTGGAGCCCAATGTGAAGCCGGCGTTTTGCTCCCCTTCGACAAAGTTGCCCTGCATGCTCGCCATCAGCGCAGCGCCCTTGGCGTAGTGCGCGCATGGTGTCTTGTATGGGCTGCCATCCAGAATCATGCCGGGGCCGTTGTCCCCGCAGAAGTTGATCACTGGCGGGCCTGCACCATTGACGCCATCTCCATCAGAAGCCACATGGATGTGCGATGCAACAAGCTGCGTTCGGCCACCAAGGACATTGGCAGCACAATGCATCCCGCTGTGGCTACAAAGCTGGCAGTCCACATAGGCAGTGGCTTTGCTGTCGGGATTGTTGGGGAACGACTGGACAAGCGTGTTGAAGCTGAGCTCGCTGAAAACATGATAGCATTCATCTTCAGCTACGGGCTGCGGATCCTTCTCTGGTGGAGCTGTAGAACCCTTGGGCACGCACTGTGAGTACCAGGAGTTCATCTGGGAACAGCTGAAGCCATCATCGCAGCATGTGGGACCGGTCCATCCCGTGCCACCACACTGGACCCATGCAGTAGCACAAGCAGCCTTAGACACTGGCAGCG